CCCCCCCCCCCCCCCCCCCCCCCCCGAGCAGATGGCGATCCCTCCGGGAGGGGAGACGTTAGATCAAATCGCGAGTCAAGAGCGACCGGCCGAGAAGCGCCTAGAAGGGCTTCCCCGACGTGTGGAGCACGCCAAGCGGCCAAGTGGCGCTCTGTCCCCGGGCCGGTGGATGCGTTGGCATATAGACCGCCGGTCGCGGGGGAACACCGGCGCCAGCGTGGCCCCGGCGTCAGCGGCGGCATGGCCGGGGCCACGCCGACTCCCGGCCACCGCAGGGAAGCGCCTCGCTCCCCCGGATCTCTCTCTGTCCCCCTCCTCTGTGTCTCGTGCTGCCCCGATCAATGTCCCTGCAATGTCCTCATGGAACTGGTCTATTCAGCGAATCGAGACCCTGATCCGGCCGCATGCTCACTTCGAAGAGGGGGGGAGGATCGCCGGCGCCTGGATGCGGGCAAAGCGCCCCCCTCCTTCCGCCTCAACTCTTTTCCCTACCGCCGGAAGAGCAAATCCAGCCGGTTGATGCGCGCCTGGCGCACTTGGGCACGGCGATCTGCGGCCGACGTACCGCCGGGGCCGGCCAGCGCGGCCCAGTCGCCACTCGCCGCCAGTACCCCGAATCCCAGCTCGGTGTCGCTGTCGCTGTCCTCATTCAGGAGCATCTGCTCACCGTCCGGGTGCCCGGATGCCCCGGAGCCGTTGGCCGTCAGGGCAGCCATCGACATGTCGGCACCACGGCGCAAGGCACGCCAGTCCTCCACCGGGACAGGGTAGTCGGCCGCCATATGGAAAGATCCCTCCCCCTCCGAGTCGGAGCCGGGCCCGTCGGCACGCGAGCCAAACTCCTCGTCAAACTCATCGGTCATGCCCCCATCGGACCAAGCCCCGGTGGTGGACCCGGCCCCGGCGTAGAGCCCAGTCCCGACAGAGGTCGATTGCAGGAAGGCAGGCGCGCCTGCGGCCCCGAAGAGATCCATCCCATCATCATCATCATCATCGTCCCCGTCACCATTGACATGCGCCTCGAACCTGGCAGCCCGGGCATGCGGTGGTGCTGCGGCTGCCACCTCCTCCTCCGCCGCCGTCGCCGCCGCCGCCGCCGAGGAGGCTCGTTGCTGGCTTGTCGCCGCCAGAGAGGGCGCCCCGCGCGCGTGGTCCTCCAGCGCCGCCCCCGCCAGACCAACCTTCAGCGTTTGCAGGCGGATGATGCGCGACTCGATGGTGGCCCGAGTGACGAAGCGCACAACATGCACGTGTCGTGTCTGCCCCATCCGGTAGATTCGATCGATCGCCTGCGCCTCGACCGCCGGATTCCACCTGCCAATCCGGCCGGCGAGGTGAAAACAGAAAAGGCCGGAGGTGAGTCATCGGATGTCTGTGGTGGAGATGGACGGGGGAGGGGGAGGGAGAGAGAAAGAGAGAGAGAGAGAGGGAGGGAGGGAGGGAGGAAGGGGGGCGGGCATGAAAAGGGCAGATCTGAAAGGCCCCAACAGGAAGGGGACCATAGCACTCCACTCCCTTTCCTTTCTCTCTCGTTCCCACTCTGAGACACACACACACACTGACAGACATGCACCCATATACACAACCGCCCAGGACCACACGCACCATGCATCCATCAGGTAGCAGTACTCGGCCATGGTCAGGTTGAGACCAACGCCACCAACGCGCACGGTGGCCAGGAGCACTCGCGGCGCGGTCGGATCGTCCAGGGAGCACTTGCTGAAGCGACCGAGGATGGTGTCGCGCTCGCGCATCGACAAGGACCCGTCAAGTCGGACAAACTGCCCCAGCGTGTCAGTGGACCACACATCCGCCGGAGGGGGTGGAGGAAGAGAGAGAGAGAGAGAGAGAAAGGAAAGCCTCCGGAAACACATCGCAAATCGGGCCTGACATACCGGTATCCCCCAAGCCCGGAGGAAGGCCGCAATCAAATCCAGGAACCGGAGAAAGTGGCTGAAGATGACCACCTTCGGCCGGCGGCCGATCAGATGCGACGCCGCGGCCTCCGTCGCCCCGGGGTCGCCGAGCTCCCGACGCCGACGCTCGAAGAGGTCCGCCAGCGGCCCATTTTCCAGCTCCAGCATCAGGGCATCTAGCTTGGAACTGCTGACCCATTGGCGCTCGGGGCCGAAGAATTCCGGCACCGCAGGCAGGACCCCGGGTGGCAGGGAACCGGGCAGAACCGGCCGCGCGGATTGCCGCAAGACGGCCTGGCTGCGGGACGCCGCCCGAAAGGCCGCCCTTTGGGCCGCCAAGGTCTCCGGATCGCCCTTCTCCAACAGGCCGCCAGCCAAATCGGAATCGACCCCGGCCAGACCCTCACGAGATGCTGGTGCCACCTCGGACATGCGCCAAGGCCCGGCCCGACACACCGGGCAGGGGGATCGCCGGGACCGCGCGCGGAAGGGACTCTGCAAGATCCAGCGCCCGAGAGCCGATGTGTCCCGGATTTCCGGCAGGTCGGTCCGCGCCAGGGAGTACATGTGTAGCAGGCACTCAATGCAAATGATGTGAAAGCAAGGGAGGATCATCGGGTGGGCCTGGGTCATGGAGAAGGGCGCTTTGGGGGGGGGGGGGGCGGGAGCTGCCGGGGCGGGGGGGGGGGGGGGGGGGGGAGTCATTTTGCCGCATTGTCAGCAACAACGCACATGGCAGACAGCAAAATCAAGGGCCAGCCGGCAGAGCGCCAAAGCGAGGAAGAACATGGAACCCAGGACGCACAGAGACAGATCGGACAATCCTGAGCATGTTGCCCCGACGTCGCAGGGGGGCTCCCCGCGTCGGGCATCGGCCCATCGGCGACCGAGCCGCCGGCGATCGGCTCGCTGGGGGCCGACGCGCCATGGGCCGGCTCGCTGGGGGCCGACGCGCCATGGGCCGGCTCGCTGCAGGCCGGGCGAGGCTCATGCCGGCACTGGAGCTGGGTGGAAAGGTGGCCCAGGTTGGCCCGGTCAGCTTGGGTGGCCAGATCCGAGTGAGCCAGGTCCGAGAGAACCTCTCGAGCAAATGACAGCCCCGAAGCGGAGGCTCCCTTCATGAACCGGTTGACCAGCTGTGGGCCGAGGAAGAAGGGGGGAGAGCGACAGAGAGAGAGAGAGAGGTCAATGACTTGCGAGTAGAAGAAGGGACATCCCGGGCGTGATTGGAAGGAGGGGGGCAGCCCCGGGAGGAGGGGAAGGAGCGAGGGAGGCATGAGGAGGATGAAGAAGGAGCGCACGCTCTCCAGATCGGAAAAGTAATCCTGCACGCCGTTGGGCTGGTCGTTTGCCTCATCGTCACCGAAACCGGTCCCGGTGCTCGAGTCGTCAGGGAACTCCGGCCCGGAGAAGGACCTCACGAGGTATGGGTGATTGCAGCACTGCCGCAATCGGAGAAGCATCTGCAGGATCGACGCATAGTTGTGCAGCACACGCTGGCTGATGTGCGAAGGAGAGAGACATAGAGAGTGCGTGTGCGTGTGAGTCAATAAGAGATGCAGACAAAAGCCTGACGCGAGCCCTCTTGAGGACGTACCTCTGGAGGAACATGTCGAAGATTTGCCGAGATCGCGTGCGGATGATGTTGTACAGCTGGCGCTCATGCGCATAGAAGCGGACGCTGATGACGCGCATCGTGCGCCCGGGGAGTGATAGGATGGGCGTCCCGTCGGGATCTTCGACGCACCAGCGAGCAAGGGTAGGAGCCGCGGTTAGGAAGTGCGGCCCATTGACAGCGAGCTGGAAGGAGGCGGGTGGGGATTTCCCGATATGTCGACGTACTGGAGGAGGTTTTAGTTCGACGGAGAAGCAGATCCCGAATGACCGGTCGCAGCATGGCCAGGGCTTCGGAGAAATTCTCACTGAAGAAGAGCAAACAACAGAAGACACGTCAGCGGACGCAAGCGAGGGTGAGATGCATGCAAAGAGGGGGGGAGAGAGAGAGATAGATAGATAGATAGATAGATAGATCGATGCGGCTAGCGCGGCTGAACGCATCGTGGCCGGGCGCACCGGTCAAACGGCTGGTCAATGCGTCGGCGCCAGAGGGCCACATTACACCAGGGCTGCAAACGAAGACAGTCGATCAGGGCATGCAGCTCGCGCGGATGGTTGTGGAAGGGCGTCCCGGTCAGGGCCCACCGACGGGTGGACCGAAGCAAGCGGCACCCGGCAAAGGTGCGCGAAGTGCGATTGCGCAGCTCATGGGCCTCATCGAAGATAACCCGATGCCACTCGCGCCGGAAGAGCCCCGGGAAGGCACTGGTCGCCAGGCTGACGTTGGCCTGGGTCCCGGCGACCGCCGGGTCGTCGGACTCCATCAGCAGGGTCCGCAACCGGGCATACTCCGAGGCCACAATGCCGTAAGTAGTCAGGATGACATCATACGGCAGGGGGGTATCCTGCTCGTGGGAGAGGACATTTTCGCGCGATGGCCCGCTGCCAGCCAGCGCAGGGAGCCCCATTCCACCGAGCAGAGGCCGAGACAGGTCAACACCGGCAGCCATGAAACAGGGACAAGGCCCAGAGGAGCAAGGGGGACAAGGGGGAGTGCGGGGGGTGGAGGGGGGGGGGGGGGGCAAAGAGGACAAAGGGAGCAAGGGGGAGGGGGCAGTTCCTCGCGCACTAGTACACGGCATAGCGCAGGCCGCCACCGCTGAAGCCGTTGGTCCGGCGGATCTCCTCGACCCAAGTGGTGGAGATCAGCGCCAGCGGCGCCACAATGAGGGTCGGCTGGCGGAGCTGCGGAGAGCCAACCCCCGGGCCCGCTGGGTTGCTGGACTCCGACATGTCGACCAGGTCCCAGTGCAAGAGGGCCAGCATTTGGGCGGTCTTGCCGAGGCCCATGTCATCGGCCAGGACGCCCCCTCGGGCACTCTCGGTGACCAGGTCAAAGCGGTCGACATTCCGGGTGCGCGGGCGCTTCCGGTTGACCGGTGCACTCGGCAGCGAGGGATGCCGGTATCGGACCTTGGCGTCGAGAGTGTGCAGGAAGATGACCCCATCTGCGGGGAGGGCCCCGGAACGATGGCAAGTGCGAAGGAAGTGCGAGCACAGTGTGAGTGACAAGAGGGGAAGAGCGAGGAAGGGTCGGTCTGCTCGGGGGTCTGTGCGCGTATGTGGCCGACACCTACCGGGGGGACTCTCCAGATGGTAACCCACCCAACTGGGATCCAGCGACTCGGGGTACACCCCAGGAGGGAGATTCTGAGCATCGAGCAGCGCCGCGCGCTCGCGCTGGCGCATCCACGCCACGCCCTGGAGCTGATGCGGCAGCAGATCCAAATGCATGGTGTCGGGCTGCTGCTCGTGGGCATTAGCAAAGTTCGGCAACGCCAGCCCAGCTGACAGTTCGGCCACGAAGGAGTTCGGATCGGCCAACCCGGGGCCTGAGGCTGGGATCGGCTCTGAGCCCGAATCCGGGGCTGAGCTCGAGCCCAGTGAGGGCGTTAATGAAGAAGAGGAAGAAGAGGAAGAAGAGGAAGATGATGCTGCTGCTGCTGATGATGATGATGATGCTGATGCTGCTGATGCTGCTGATGCTGATGATGACGGTGGCGGCGATGGCGACGACAATGTCCCCTGATCGGGTGCTTGCGACAGGAGAGGATCATTCCCGAACAGGGCATCCAGTGACAGGCCAAAGGCCGACATGACATCCAGCACGGGAGCCAAGCCCGGGGCCGGCTGCGGTGAAGGCCCCACAGCGAGGTCATGCTGCGTAGGATGCTCCGGCGCGGCCGGCAGGTCGGCCTGTGTGGCGTTCGAAAAGAGGAGATCCTCCGCAGCCAGCTGCCGGAGAACGTCCGCCGGTGGAGGAGCCACCGGGCGAGGGGCCACCGCCTTGAAGAGCGCATGATAGGCCACAGCATCCAGGGCACGATCATTGTCCGCCAGGGTGGAAGTCTGCAAGTTTGTGTGTTGGATCGACGTCGAGCCATAGGCTGGCGCATGCGGGGGCCCGCGTGGACGACGCGCACGTGGTTAGCGCGCATGGCAAACAAGCTCGGGCTTGGCCTCAAAAAGGGAGAAGACGCCGCGCACCTGCCTGGTTCAAGTGGACCTCGATCAGCAGCTGGACATCGGTGCCGGTGGACAAGAGCGACCGCGCACGGTCGAGCGGGCAATCGCCAATGTCAACACAGCTGGCCTCGGCGGAGATCAGCCCCCGCCAGAGAAGCTAGCATAGCCCGCAGGTGAGGTCAGTCAAGCGGTGCCGATGGCGACGGACGGCCAGAAAAAATGGCAAACGGGCGCACGCACTCGGCTGAGGAAGGGACAGTGCTCCATGGCCAGGCGGCCAATTTCGACATTACCACGCGGCACTCCCGGGGGGAGGATCCGCTCAAAGTAGACGATTTCAGACTGGCGCTTATCGGCTTGGTGGGAGGAGGTGAGATGGTGAGTTGGGTAGGGGAGCCATGGGGGGGGGGGGGGAGGGGAGGAGGAAAAGAGAGAGAGAGAGAGAGAGAGAGAGAGAAGAAGTGGATGGATGCCTGGGCATGCTCAGAGACAGGGCCAACCGACTGATGGAGGCTGGTTGACCGACGGCGTGCACACAGGAGGGGAAGGAGGGAAGGGAGGGGGGGACACACCGCCGGCCGTGGGAAAGGGGGATTTGCGCGAGCGACGGCCGCGAGAGCCAGCCACGCTGGAAACGCCGCCAGTTGAGCGTGAGCTCGGCCGTGATGCTGACCCGGGGGCAGTCCTCCCGGCGCTCAGTCCGGACTGGTTGGAGTAAAGCCGCACCCGGCTGCCGATGCCCATTGGCCCGAAGGCTGGGGAGCTGCGAGACGCCGGGCCGGTGTGCTCGGGCCCAGAGACCAGCCGCGTGCCGATCACAAAGCCCCGGACCAGGAAGCTCCCGAGCAGGACGCTATCCGGCAGAGTGCCCTGATCGGCCAGTCGTCGATAAACCCCATCGAGCGGGTCGCCAGCTGGCGCCCTTTCAGGAACGGCGGGGGTCGCCGACGCCGGGGCCGAGTCATCGGCACCCGCCGCCCGAGTCCACCGAGTGATTAGGGTATTCTGGCTGGCCGGAGGCCCCGGAGGGAGGGGGAGTTCCTCCAGAGCCTCCACATGCCCTGGAGGCAGGGGGAAACGCCCGGGAACGGCGGCCATCACTGGCGCAAGTGGGAGGTACCGGGGCACCGACTGCAGGAGCGGAACGCCGGGGGGAATGCCCGAGGCCGCCGGCAGGGGGGGGAGGCCTCCCGATGCGACCGACGGGAAGGGGGAACTTTCCGGCATGGCACCTGGCCCCGGGGGCAGGGCCATGCCGTCCTCCGACGATGTGGCCGAAGCCAGCGGATTGCTGGCCGCAAAGATGGACGTATAATAGGGTGCCGGGGGTGGCGCAGCCGCCGCCGGGGCTGAACCAGAGACGCCCTCCCCCCCGGGGGGCGGCGGACCAGTCGGGGGAGTGGTCATGCGCCGGGCACCTGGGGCAGGGGAAGGAGGAGCGGGAAGGTGCCGGCAAGAGAGGGAGAGGGAAAGAGAAAGAGAAAGAGAGGGAGGGAGGGAGGGAGGGAGGGAGGGAGAGAAAGTGGGACGATGCACCTCACGCAAACCGGAAACCAAAGATACTGGCACGAAAAAAAAGCCTCCAATCTCGCTTCGCGTGTGACCACGCCGTGCCCCCCCCCCCCCCCCCCCCCC